AAGCTCGTCCAACCCCTGAGTTTATGGTTGGGCAATTGATTGCAGCCCTTTTCTACCTACCCACTCGACAGGGCCGTGTTTTGTTCCACTCTGGGAAAGTTGATGCAGACATCATTGGATCCATCAGGATTTATTTTTATTGTTATTGGACTTTATCATTTATGTTTTCTATTTTTGTTGCTATTGGGTTTATAGTAATGGGTTGGCCCAAACCCATCAATTAGCTGGGTTTTCACTATTTATATGGTTTTTACATTGTAATTTAGACAATGAATGATTGATAAAAATTAAGATTGGCCGTTGCCACATTTTTCCCTTTTCCTACGTCTTCTTCCTTTTTCCTTATTCTTCACGGCTTCTTCTCCCTTTCTTCTATTGTTACTTTTTTCTTGCAATTCTAATTCTGCTATCGATCTTACATAAATGTCTATTGTGAAAAGCCCAATGGGTCTGGTGGTCAGATTTATGGCGATTGTTACGTTTTTGATGCCCAAACTAGTGGGTAAGTATACACTGCAGTTACACTATTTCTATTGAAGTGCCCACGTATAGTTTGCTTATTGCTTATGTTAATTTGCTGTAAATATATGTGCGTTTCAATGACAGGTGTGCATTTATTTATGGATCGGTCTTTTTTAACTGTTTTGAGTTAAAAATAAACTTGTTGATTGTAATAGTGCACATCAGTCACCATTCATTATTTGCCCTCTATTCAATTGCTCCTTGCGGTCTAATAAATTATGAAATTCTGGGTTGGAATAAACTTAGGTGGATTTGCTCCTATAATTATGCATGCAAAGCTATTACAGATGCTACTTTTTCTCAGCTAGTCTAATCAATTAGGAATGTACAATACAAAGATAATTTCCAGCATTGAATGTCTAGTGTCAACTGTCAATATGTGGGTTCAATTTAGCAAATATTAGTTTTAAATCTCAGTGCCCCTTTAAAGTTATCAATTTATGGATAGTTGTATAAAACTATAAATTCCCTTATCGATTAACACACTGTATACTTATATTTCATATTATCCCATAACTTCAAATTGTAGTTTGTTTCCACACACATGTTTACTTTTGACACTAAATTGTAAAAAAGTTTTAGTTACTACTCTCCACACTGGGAATACTAACATTTGGTATAGGTTGAGGGGGACGTTAACCAAACTGTGAATTCATTCTTTGTTTTGTTACCCATCTAATCGTAGAGAGCAAAGAGGATTCAAAGATGATATGAATCACTCATATTAGCATTTCTCTTATTTTATATGCTGCACAGATGCAGAAGAAATGAAGCATGCACATGTGGAAATGAGAAACCTAGGTACTCCCTCTCTTGCAAACTTTTTAGCAAGAGCACATAGGACCAGTTAAACGCTGGGTTTCAGAATGATGAAGGCACCGTTCTCATTTGCCACAAATTGAACACAAAACTTGAAAGGTTTTTTTTTTATATTTTTGGGAAAAGTGTTGGAGTTGTGACATTTTGTTGTCACATAACTAATGAATATTTTGGTTGTAATTTATTAACAATAGTTTGGTTTAGGTCTAACTATGAAATGATGTAAAGTTAGGCTAGTTGTGAGCTACTACAAGCAAGTTGATTGTCTAGTATTATGGTTGATATAATAGTAGGTAGAAATATCTATCAAATATTGGCTATTTATAAAGCCAAGTTGTATGAAAGATATATGAAGAAAATATAGAGAAAATGTAGTCTCAAAAGTTCTCTCCCTCTTCTGATCTGTTCAAAGAGAACAACAGAGTATGTATATGTTTTTTATGCTTGTTAATATCCGGTTACTTCAAATAACCGGTATATGTTTTTCTCTACTCCTCCATACATAAATCAAGTATGTTTTGAGAGCTCTTGAAAGAGCTTTAGATCAACGAAATTCCAACAGTGGTATTAGAGCTGTAATGATCTTAGAAAGGGGCCAAAAAGGAAGAAGAAACAGTCAAAAGCTGAAAAAATAGAGGAAAACTGATGCAAAAATGATGATGAGAATGGGCTTAAATTCGATTTGATTGCAAGGATTTAGGCTGAAAAACTATCTTTGAAGATCAGAGCTGCAAAACTGATCTTTAGCAACAAAAAAATTGGAAGAAAACAGCTGATTAAGGCAATGAAAAGAGTTGAAGAAGAGAAGAAAAACAGAGTGTTCTCTGTGCAAATTCGGTAAGAAATAAGCAAAACCAGTAAGCATTTTGCAAATACAGTTAGTTGAGTGCAAATACGGTACTTCAGTATTTTTTCATTTCAAACCAGTAAGAACCATGAATAGACGGTATGTGCAAAGCAAAACCGGTAAGGAACTTGCAAATACGGTATGATGTGTAAAATCCGGTAAGCTCAAGTTTATGCAAATCTGGTAAGTCAGTGCTAAATTCGGTATGATGAGTAAATCCGGTGGGCAAAGTGTAAATCCGGTATGCATAAAAAATTGAGTAAATCCGGTAAGGAACTTGCAAATACGGTATGATGTGTAAAATCCGGTAAGCTCAAGTTTATGCAAATCTGGTAAGTCAGTGCTAAATTCGGTATGATGAGTAAATCCGGTAGGCAAAGTGTAAATCCGGTATGCATAAAAAATTGAGTAAATCCGGTAAGCTTGATTAAATCCGGTAAGTTCATTCTTTTTTTGGAAAACTGTCAAATACGGTAAGCATGTATTAAATTCGTATGTTGTGTGCAATACCGGTATGTTCATTGAAAATCCGGTAACTTCAAAACTCAACAACAGCCTTATCTTCTCAACAAAAAATCAAATCTGAAGATGAAATT